CGCGACCGAACCACCGAGCCGCTGCGGCGGCTTTGGCGGTGCGTCTGCAGGGTGGCCTTCGCCTTCGCGTGTTAATCCCTTCCCTTTTTCATCTTTGTGCCTCTCCCTCCATCTCGTCGTCGCTGCCGTCGCTGCCCCAGCGGCACCTCGCAGGGCGCAACCAGTGCGGCGCGGCAAGGCCCGGCAAGGCCGAGGCAAAGGCGGGCTGCACTTCGCCGCCAAGAACCCCCTCTCCCAGCTCGGCGTGCCCGGCGTGCCCGGCGTGGCGCAGAGGCGAAGACGGAGGCAGACCCAAGCCCGCATCTCCAATGCGCCCCGCCGCGCCGCGCCACCCCGCCGTCAAAGTTATTTTATGCGACAGGAGTCTTACATCTGGCAGGGCCTCGCGATCTTTGCTTGCTTTACTGGAGCGGCTTTGCTGGAGTGGGACGGGGCCAGCGAGGCTGGTTTCGAACCGGGATTCCGTCCCTCTCGCGTTCGTGGGACGTTTCGCTGGGGTGCGAGAGAGACGGGGTGACGAAACTCTGTCCGGGTTCGGAATCGCTCCAGAGGGCTGTGGCTGGGCCAGAAGACTTGTAGACGCGGCCAAAACTCTGGAAGTGTTTCAAGCTCCAGAGTCGCTAAACAGGACTCGAAGCGAACGTGTGACCCCACCGACGGATTCCTCATTTGGAGAGCAATCCATCGGTGGTGTCACACGTTCGGTTCGAGTCCCATTTAGCGACTCTGGAGCTGAAAACGCGTCCGGCCCACTGTGAGGCGGGCTGGCTCGCCCCGATGGGCTGCCTACCTGGCCGGCGCCTCGGCCACCCAAATTGCCCCCTCCGTGGCCGTCCTTGGCCGAGGCCGAAGCGCTGCAGCCTTGACTAGCCTGCAGGACGCGGCCTCATCAAGGAGAGAAGCAGGGCAAGCATGGCGCAGCCTCTCGGCCTCGGCCACGCCCGCCAGGCCTCGGCACCGCGGACCGAAAATAGAAAATCCAGAACACGGCCAAGGAGGGCAGCAAAAAGAACCGCAACGCACCGAAGAATAACCAGCCGCGGCTCGGAACGGGACCGACAGGCCGAAGCGGCCAAATTGGATTTGTTATTCATTTTGCGGCATTTTCATTATCATCCTTGTCCAGCGACGTTCCCGCCCTGAATCCACACATTTATTTGCGTACGCGCGGTCCGCCACACCGCGCACCGCGTGGCGCGTAGCGGCAACAGCAATTCCAGTGGCGCGGTGCGGCGCGGTGTGCAAAGGGCAAACGCTGGCAAACGCGGTGCGCGGACAAACGAATGTGAGTTTCCGTGGCAAGTAGTGGCCGGTGAGTAAGCAGCGCCCCTTTCTGCCCCTTTCCACCCGACGCACGCACACACGCACGGCCACGCACGGCAGGCTGATGCCGAGCGGTGCTTTCGTCGCTCTGTCTCTCTCGCACCCCTACGGGGCGCCCCGTGAGTGCGAGAGAGACGCAGCGACGTAACACTGTTCGGAACGAGCCTGCCGGCGCGGCGAGAACCCAGTTGACACGTGGGAACGGCATTCTGAATAAACAGACGTGCTCCAGATGTGTGCCGGGCGGGGCCGGGCGGTGGCGCGCGACGGGCAGCCTCACGGGCCGCACCGCACCGCGCACCGCACGGCAGCGCGGCCAGCGCTTAATTGAAAGAAAATATGAGGGGCAAAGGTAAGCACGCCCTGCATGGCCGGGCCAGGCCAACCAGGCCACGCCGGACAACGCGCCGCTCAAAGGGCCGGCCGGCTGGCTCCGAACAGCGCCCCGCCCGGCCCCGCCTCTCTCGCACTCGCAGGGCGTGGCGCCGCGTGCCGCCGCCTGCCGCAGGGGCGCGAGAGACGGAGCGACGAACCAGTTCGGAACCAGTCTGCAGCGAGAGGGCGGCCCGCTGTAATTGGAGCCTGATCGAAGGACGAAGGACGCGCGGACGTGGAAATGGAAATGGCGAGCGGGTCGTGAAAGAAATTAACAGTGGCGGCGCCCCCGGCGGACTGGCGCGGGTTCGAACCCCGGCCGGGGCGCGGCGGCTGCGTGTGGTTTTTGGTTTTCGCAGCCCTGCGGGCGAGGAGCAGCAGTGGCGGGCGATCCAGGCGATCACACGGGGAGCGAGGTAATTCCAGGTCTGACACCGGGATAGCCGGGATAGCGCCGCTGGACGGCCGGCTTGCCTGCGCTGCGCTGCAGGCGCCGTGCCCGCCCTGCCCGCCGTGCCCGCCCTGCCCACCCTGCCTGCGGGGATGAGAGCGGTGCTACGTTCCACGCCCCAAGCCCCTGAGCCCCGAGCTAGCCCCGTGGGGGCGGGCGCGGCCCCGCCTCGGCCCCAGCCGTCACATCAAACGGAATACGCGACTCACGGCCTCGGCCCTGGCCGCCCTGGCCACACGCAGCACGCAGCACCTGGCCGCGGCCTGCACGCCTCTACCCTCGCGGCCGAGTGCGCCGCGCCGCGCCCGCCGCGCACTTCCGACGCCAAATTCCCCTCTTCCCTCTCCGCCACCGGCTAATCCCGTTGTTAAAAACGCGGCCCGCTTTGTGGCCGACTTGGAGGACTCGGGGATCGGCGGCGTTCCAGCCCGGCCGTTCCAGCCCGGCGGCGCAGCGCCCCGCCCAGGCCGTCCCGTCCCGTCCCGTTCCAGCCCGGCGGAGCACGGCGGAGCACGGCGGCCCGGCCCGGGCTGCAACAAAGTTTGAGGTCTCCACTAATGACTCGGACTCGGTCCGACAAGACGAACCTCGCCAAGATTCCATTACAGATGCCCTGGAGACTCTGTGGAGGGCCCGGCCCGGCCGCCTTGTCCTGTCTGGGCGAGCCCTCAGCCCCCAGGTGGCTCACGGCCTGGCTGGCCGGGCGCACGGCCCGCACTGCGTCCAGCGGCCTCTGGGGCGGCCCTGCGGACGGCCCTGCGGCCCCACGGCCGCCCTTTGAAAGCCCGTTAGGTGTGCCCCTTGCAGGCGCAGGCGAGCGCAGGCCGGCCCGGCCCTCATAACCTGGCCTCGTCTAAATAATGCATCTGCGAAGGCGGAGGCCGGGCAAGGCGGTGCGGACCGTGCGGGCGGCGAGGGGGAGCGAGTGAGTAGGAGCTAGCGGCCTCGTGGGGAGGGGGCGGGGGCGCTGCAGCCACTCAGTACACCCTCAGAATTAACTGCTGCAGGGTGCACACACAGCCTCCGGCCTGAGCCTCCCCGATCACGTCATCAACTACCGTCCGCACGAGGGGCTCCTGCCTGCCAGGCCTGCGTCGCGGTGGTCACCCCGGCTGGGCCTTCCCCGGCCGCCGCGCTCACACCGGGTGCGGATCCAGGCATTGCCCCCCCCCCCTTTAGCTGCCTGCATGGAAGGCAACAGGCCCCGGTTTCCCGTCGCTAGGCAACTTTTGAGACCCCCCCCCCTTCCAACCCGTATCTGGATCCGCCCTTGGCTCTCGTCTCCAGCCGGCTGGAGCCTGGACTCGGCTGGAGTCCGCTGAGTCGGTCCAGGGCGAGCCAGGGCGGGTCAAGTCAGGCCGCGGACGTGTTTCAGGGTAATTAGCCCGCTGGCCCGGCAGAGTCCGAGCAGGTCCGACTTGGCCGGGAAGCGGGGCAAGCGTAGCAAGCGGAGGCGAGGCCGCGGAGCCACTCAGCCGTGAGGGCGTTTGTGGTGCTGATGCCACCAGCCACCCCGCCCCCTTTACCCCCGAGCACCGCGGTTTCACCCACTGCTTCCCCCTCCTCTCTCTTTCTGTCATTCCTGGCTAATTGCATCGCATCTCGCTTCCCTTGCAATGCATCGAGACCAGCGCGCCTGTGACGCAGGCAGTCCCGTGGAGCGGCGCTGTGCGCTGTGTTGCCTACCTCGACTTCGTCAGGCGTTCGCCGCTCAGTCTGCTGCAAGGGACCTTCCCTGCGGACTGCAAATTTAAATTTCCCACCGAGCTCCCACTCGACCTGTCCTGGATCAGGCGGATTGGAGGACCAAAGCACCACCCACGCCCGCATCAGAGTTCGCAAAGTAACCACGAGATAAGAATCTCTGGGCAAGACGTCAAATGGCCCTCCGTCCCTGTGGAGGCTCTCAGAAGAAAAGTAGGATGCCATTCCTAGACTATGTTTAATCCACTGCAGAGAGGTGCTTGACTGGTTTAAATTAACGTAAATCCACAATCGTCAGAATATGTAGTGCAGGAAGTGTGTACCAGGTCATGAAAACAACAGGGTTTTTGCAGTGTGCTGCTAAATTACTTCGCTAATGTCTGAAACAATGGCTGCGGATTGTTGAGCACCAAGTGGAACCGCTCAACTTAGAGATTGTTACTTTTGTAATGAATGTTATGATAGTAATTTCTGAAGAGACATTAAGATCTAATTCATTAAATCATGGAAAGGTATTATTAAAGGAAATCTTAATAAAACAGCATAAGTCTTAATTTTTTTATTAATAAAATAAACCAGTTTACTTGCAACCTTACAGGGATGATCTGAACAACTGTTACTTCCGGTTACTTCTTACTTTGATACAGTGGTAAAACAAAACAACACACATACAACAGAAGTGTGTACAAAGAATAGCTAAACTATATTAAAATGAAGCAAAACATTGGTGGAGATTCATAGTTGGTTATTTCAAACCAACATCCACAAAACATTATATTAAAGAAGGAACATCTCATGCACAACCGTTAGTCATAATAAAAAAAAAACCATACACTGCAAGTCCACTTAAATTATTTCCTCTTTACGAGGACAGTCCAGGATCAGTCTTTGACTTGCCTTGGAGCAGTTTAAGTAGAATATTTTTTTAAACTATTTTGAAACACTTAACTATACAATTAATACAAACAATGTATTACTAATTGTCAAAATAAAACCGATGTTGGTAATGTTAATTAACTATACAATTAATACAAACAATGTATTACTACTTGTCAAAATAAAACCAATGTTGGAAATGTTAATTAACTATACAATTAATACAAACAATGTATTACTAATTGTCAAAATAAAACCAATGTTGGAAATGTTAATTAGCTTTCACAAAACAGTAAGCATGACCACTCTCAACATCATCTAACGAAACCACTTTGACCTTGTAGGTATCACTTTTCAAATCCTCTGAGGATTCGGGATTCTCTGGTTCCTTGACAGGTTCTGGAAGCACAGCCTTCTCAGGGAGTTCCAGACTTTCGCCAATTTCGTCACGAAATCGAACCTTCCTTGAAGAGTTCCTGCAAGGGTTTGCACCGACACAAGAGCTAAAAACATGTAAATCAATAGACCTCAATAGCTCCACAAAAATACGTTGATCAATATTCCTGGATAATTGGTACAAAACAAACCAGTCACCAATTTCACAGCTGTAGCAGATTGACTCTACAATGCGAAACTGGCATCGCCAAGCACGACAGGAAAGAAGGTATGTGCGCAGCCTAAAAGACATCATCACACAGACACGGTAAGCCATCATGAAACCAGTGATAGTTGCAACCACCATATACCAAAACCACAAAAAGACATAAATTTTCTCGCTAATAATATTGATGGAAAGTACACACAGAGCATCATACTTTTGTAATGTCCCACTAGGTCCAAATTTGAAGAAGTTGCACTTGCTCACCTTTGGGAAAATTCTCGACATTGGATCACATTCATTCAAGTCCCAATCACAATCCATCACTTGGGTGCCATAATGCATGAAGTCCCCATCCAAAAACAAATCCATGTAATAGATTTGCCCAACCACATTCACAAAGTTCAGAACTTCACACAAGAAAAAGCGATAGAAATAATGGTTTTGATGGCCAAAGCTGTACTTCAGGTGGTCGAACAGAAGTCCTTTCCGCTCTTTCTCTGTTTTCTTGGTCACAACAGGTTGGTCCAGATCCTGGACCATGCTCTTCATACGGCCCCTCTCACAAATGCTCCACAGAGAGCGGGGAACTTTGAACAGCATCGCCTGCAGAAACAAGGAGATGCACACCCACTGGTAGTACTTGTGCGTCTTCTCTTCATCGCCGTCGTCTTGCAGGCCGACTCCCGGGGCAGCGTCCTCGCCAAGCCGATCTATGGCGCGACGCGGGAGGGTGAACGTTGACATGGTCCAGCAGTAGGCGTTGATCATCTTCTCCGGTATCTTTTGATCTGAAATACATATTATCGGATCTCCTATGTACTCCTTCCAGCCCACCAGAGAAGCGCAAACCAGCAACACTAGCACACTGGCTCTGTAGTGCAGCTTGAACACATTGTTGTCCGTGGTGGGTTCCTTCAGATCGATCTTGAAGACCTTCTTGAGCGGCTTAAACAGCTCCAGCATATTAGACATCTTGGCTGAATGATTGATTTCTCTTCTAGAATCCCGATGTAATCAGATTTCCAGGTGGTGGCGCAATGGCTGTTCCTTCCATGAGCGAGCGGCATGCGACGCGACCGCGACACGAGCCGGGCCATCAACAACAACAACACACAACAACAGTGGCGAAACAAAAAACAAATGCCGCTCGCCGGCCGATTATTGCAAACAGCAAGGATGTATGAAAAATCGCTGTAACCACGTCGAACAGAAACCGTAAGAATGCAAAATTTCGCGTTTCGCTTGCGGCAGTTGTCGTGACACACCGCGCTGTTGATGTTGCTATACCCACGCCTCATTCCTTGAGTCGAACGTAATTTTATCACGAAAATCCTCACGCGCGGGCCTTCATTCCACTCTCCGGCAAGGTGGTCCGTAATTTCGACACCAGTCTTCGTCGCTCTGTCCCTCTTGCACCCAAGTCCGTGGCGCAGCTGAGGGAATTTCGTCTACACCACGCCCACCCCAACCACACCGCTCGGCTCAAACGCTCCAGCGCGCAGGCACACTCGTACATTTTTGCGAAGGCTGCGGCCACTTCAAGGGGGAAAGTTTCATCGCGCGTAGTAGGACCGCACTTTCAAGTGCTAGATAAATTTAGCCAAAGAATCCAAGAGTGTGAGTCATCTGGCCCACTCGTGAAAACTGTCCACTTCCAACTCCGGCGGCCATTTAGGCCCTCGCGAGCCGCCGGCAGAAACACAAGCAGTGCATGGCCAGACAGCGGCGAGAGCGGGGAGCCCCTTCTCGCCTCCACAAACGCACTCGCGCACTGCGAGCCGACTGTTTCATAGGGAAATATTGTAATAGGCTGCCGGAGTTGGCAACACTCGTCGCTAAGTGCGGCTTCCCCTCCCCCTCCCCCCCCCCTCGCCACTCCTCACGTGCCGCTCACGCGTGCCCCTCGCCTTTGAGCAGGTCCGTGGCGCGGCGGCGCGGTGCTCACTTGGACCTACCTGCTGCCGTGCCGTGCCGCTGCCGTGCCGCTGCGGGGCCTCGACGGCCTTGGCGGGCCGAGTGGCGGAGTGGCGGCGCAAACTCATCTCTAGTGCGAGAGGAAGGCAAATCCGACGGTATTAGAGCGCCGCAACCCTTTGCCCGTCAGGCCGTCAGCACAGCCGTGGCGGGGCGGGGCGGGGAGCAGCAGCGCGCCTGTGACGCAAGCAGTCCCGTCGAGCGGTGCTGTGCGCTGTGTTGCCTACCCTGGCTTCGTCAGGCGTTCGCCGCTTGGGCTCCGAGAGTGACGCTGTCTGCCAGCACGTCTCTCTCTCTTCGCTCTCTTCTCTCTCTCTCTCTCTCTCTCTCTCTCTCTCTCTCTCTCTCTCTCTCTCTGCCTGATGGTGCTTTCCGGCCCGCCGGGGGATTTTCCGTCGTTTCCTCCACTAATCCCCACCCCTGCCCCCCGGCCCGCCACATCCCGCCCGCTCTGACCACTCCCGCGCCGCTCCATTTTGCATCCCCAGTTTGGCTTCGGATTCTTCCGCCCGCGCGAAAACAAAATTAACGGTACAACTGGCACGTGGAAATCGGCGCGGGGGGCGGGAGGCGGGAGGCACCGTGTTCGGCGACAAATTGTGTGCGCCCGTTTGTTTGTTTTGACTTGTTTCTCATTTTCTTTTTTTTCCGAGCGGAAGCGGCAGAGAAGCGGAACCGCGCCGTGTCCGCTGCGAAAAAGAAGAAGAGAGAAAAAGGCGACTTTGCCCGCATGGCCAAGGCGGCAAAGGTTGAGGCGGCACGGCGCGGCCGGCGGGGCAACGTCGCAAATTGGAGTAAGCAGCAAAGTGCATACATTATCGCCCCGGTGGCTCCGCGCCGCTCCGCGCCCCGCATTATGGGGCGACGGCGGCGCCCTGCCGGGCCTCGCGCCGGAGGCCGCGCCGGAGGCCTTGCCGGAGGCCCGGAGGGAGAGTATCTCGGGGACGTTATTGTTGGCGCGGACTGCCTGCAGGCCGATTACGAACGGTCGGCGACTTCGTCGCTCTGTCTCCCTCGCACTCACGGGACCGCCCGGTCCGGGACCAAGCGTGCGAGAGAGGCAGAGCGACGAAGCATTGTTCGGGATCGCTCTGGCGGTGCCTGGCGGTGCCGCCGGCCCGGGGACTGGGCTTAATTAGCCAGGTCGAGAGAGCAGCTAAACCGAATAGCTGAGCAGCGCCAGCAGCGCCACGGTGCTGGGTACAGTCTGGTACAGCCTGGTACAGTCTGGTACAGCCTGGTACAGTCTGGTACAGCCTGGTACAGTCTGGTACAGTCTGGTACAGTCTGGTACAGCCTGGTACAGTCTGGTACAGCCTGGTACAGTCGGGTACAGTCCCGACGAGAACCGCGTCCTGTCCGACTCGACTGCCCCGGTTGGGTTATCCGGCTCAGGGCCGGCGGCAGGGTGGCGATCAAACTTTAAAGAGGCCGAGGGCCACCCCCTCCCCCGTCTCCCGGGCCGCCGCGACGGGAGCCAAGGGCAGCGACGGGCCACTATAAGGCTCACTATTATCACATCAAAGCGCCAAAGCGCCTGCGCGCGCTGAGCAGGCGGCTCGCAGCTTCAAAGAATGGCCGAAAGCTGGGATTATTTATTCTCTTTCCATACACATTCTCGAGGGGCCAAAGCCCCGCCACGCCACGCCAAGCGACGCCTTGCCGTGCCCCCATCCGGCGGGCCGCGCTCTCGGGGGTCTTCAGGTGCAGCAGCGCGCTGCGCGGCGCTGCGCCGATGCCGAAACGTCCCGTCGCTGTGTCGTCGACGGGAATGTGACCGCCGCTCGAATACGCACTCCGGTTCCACATCCACAGTCGAAATGCTTGACACCCCTGCAGGACGCCGGCGGGACCCGGAGCCCCACCCAGTGATGCAGCCTCGTGCAGCCTTGTGCAGCCCCCTCGCTGCTCGCGGCGGGGCAGAGCGGGGCACAGCGGGGCGGAGGGCTCCTCTCCTCGCCGTCCTCTCTGTCCCCTCGACGCAACAGGTGTCGCCGCGCAGCCGAGCGTGACAAGCCGTGACCGGGCGTCAAGTTAGCGTGACGGGGCGGGGCGGGGCGGGGCGGGGCGGGGCGGGGCGGGGCGGGGCGTAGTGTAAGCGACAAACTTTCGACGCCGCCACCGCTCTGATCCGTCAGTCCCTCCCGGCCGGCTGGGGCCGGGCGGTACTTCTTTCTTATCCCGGGCAGTTGGCGGCGCGCAGTTGGCACACTGGCGATGCCCTGCGTTTTGAAGAGTGAAATATTCATCCTTCAATCTGCTATTCTGCGAGATGAATGAGTGCGGGGAAAGCGCTGAGGAGGGCATCAGCGTTCAAGGAGGGGCTGCTTGCTTCTTGCGGAGAGAAGAAAAGTTTCTTTTTTCTTGCGGCGGCAAGAGGCCGGGTCATGTCACCACTCCGTCAGAGGCGAGATACCAACCACTCGGCCAAGGAACGGTGACTCATTTGATAAATTTGCCATTAAAATTAAATGGTCCACTCTGTGCGCTGGTTGGGGCGCAGACAAACAAAACTGCCTCGGGATAAATTAATTTAATTCTATGCGCTTCTCATTAGAAAAGTTAAAGTAAGTCAGTGAGGCTGACCTACGAAAAGCCAAGCCGTGTGCCTCGGGGGCAAAACTTAAAAGTTCTTTAACTTGTTTCTTTATTTCGGCATTGTCATCGCGGCAGACGTGCGACGAGGAGGGAGAGAGAGAGCGAGAGAGAGAGAGAGAGAGAGAGAGAGAGAGAGAGAGAGAGAGAGAGAGAGAGAGAGAGAGAAATTGATTCGATTCGGCGGGAAACCTTTACAAACCAAAGGAGATGGGACAAGATTACTACTGCGAACTACATGACGTCACTCGCAGCCGTTTCTGCCTTGCCGTGCGTGCCACGCCACTGTAGGCACAAGGGTGGACTCGGCCACCTCGGCGCGCTACGTGCCGCCATAGTGCCGCGAGAGTCTCGAGCCGCGAGGCCAGCAGACGGCAGCCCCTGCATTATTTTAGCCCCTCCCGGAAACACAAGAGAGGCAGGTGGAAAAGCCGGATTCACGGAGCAATTCCGGGGCCGCGCGTCTCCGGGGCGCTGGCTGAGCAATGCAAGAGGGGAGGGGGGACGCAATATGACAGCAAACACTCAGCGGGGAAGGGGCAGCAGCGACCCGCAGCGACCCGCAGAAAACACTCGCAAATGTTGTGATAAAAGGTTTGAGCCGCGCGGCGCCATGGCGGCGCGCAGACCGGCGCGGCACAAAAAGGGCACTTCTTGGCGGCCCTCGGGACACTTGTTGTCGGCGGCGGTGCGGCCGGGAAGACGCGCGGGAAAGGGGGAAAGAGGGGAAGGGGTGGGGTGGGGGTCCGTTCTGCTTCTGGCCTAATTACTGCTGCCCGTGAATAATTAAGGTAAGCCAACGTGGAAGTAGCGCCCAAAACACATGGCCGGCCGCGAGCACACATGCTTTGGATGCGTGGCGGGGCGTGGCGGGGCGTGGCGGGGCGTGGCGGGGCGTGGCGGGGCGTGGCGGGGCGTGGCGGGGCGTGGCGGGGCGTGCGGGGTGGCGGGGCGTGGCGGGCGTGGCGGGGCGTGGCGGGGCGTGGCGGGGCGTGGCGGGGCGTGGCGGGCGTGGCGGGGCGTGGCGGGGGTTGTGTTGGGGAGGGGAGATTGGAAAGCAGTGGGAGCAGGTCGTGATCCGGTGGGTCCCTACCGCTTTTGTGAGCGTGGGACAAAGGTGTAGGGCGTTCGGACGGGCAGCGCGCTGCTGCGGGACGGCCAGGGACGGCTCGGGCCGAGGCCACTGGGCCGGGCAGCAGCACGCCACCACGCCACCACGCCGCAATGGTAACAGCGTGGCGGCCGGGCGGGCGGGGCGGCTGGTTCGGCGAGCGCTTGCCAGACCGCAGCCCTGATGGCCACCGCAAATGGGCCGCGAGCCGCGCCCCGCCCCGCCGCGCCCCGCCCCGCCCCGCCCCGCCCGCCCCGCCCCGCCCCGCCCGCCCCGCCGCCCCCGCCCCGCC